TAGTTAATGAATTTAAAAAGTTCTAAAGAATTTTGATAACATATTTTAGCATAATTTCTTAAATAAACTAAAATATTTCCATAAAATCTAAATGCATTCTTAAGGAGAATACTCTCCCATTTGGTAATGACACACACACATACATACATATGACAATAAATAAAGGTTTTATGTAATAAAGTTGTATTTGGTAAAAAGACATTTATTTATTTATTTCTCTTTATTGATCAAATGTGTGCAAAATTTCAATCTAGAAAGCATGAGAGAAAACTCAACATAAAAACTGAAAACTTAAAAAACTTAAAAAAAAAACATTTGACATGTTGCCATGTTTGATTGCTTGTGTTGACATTGTGAACGTACGATCGATTGATGTAGCCAATGACAGATGCATTTGCATACTGATCGTATATTTTGTGTTGCACATACCCATACTTAGCTATTGTATTGTGGTACATTGTGGCAACATCCGTTGTTGTACTTTTATGTATTCCCAAGTAACAGATAAACGGGGCATGTGCCAACCTTGTATGCATCTTAGCTACAAGTTTAACACAGAAATCAAAGTTTTGATTTGTTTTACTATCCCCTACATGACTACAACAAGGAGTATTTAAGTTTACACTAATGTTTGCAAAAGACAAAATTTTTTTTAATATTTAAATCATATAGAAATTATAATTTTAAATATCATTCTCTTAATACAAATGTTTTAAATTTAACAAATTATACATTCAAATTTGAGAAATGCCAGTCATTTTAAATTATTTGGTAAATAACTGAAAATGTTAATCCCAATATTGCAAACATAAACTGCAACATATAATATCTTCCCAAACTATGTTGATTAAGCCCACAAATGTACATTTACCATTCTTCAATTGAATGAAAGAACGAATGTAAATTTGCATTGTAAAGTATTTGAAATAAATTTCATCAATAGAGGAAGACAGAAAAGTAACAGATAAATGCAAATTTGAAAATAAAAATCAATGAAATAGTTGTAAAAATGTTGTTGTTATTGTTACTGTCAGTATTGCTGTAATACAAGGTTAACTTGTACATATTTATGAAATGACATTTACAATTTACATTTAATATGAATTGTAGGCATGTTATGATAATAAATAAATTAAACTAAAAACTAAACTACATTGAATGTAATTATTTAACGAGATTTTGTAATTGAAATTACGCAAACGATGACAGAATTTTTTGCAAACTCCACTTCAAAAAAAGCAATAAATTAAATTATGATTTTTAATGGCATTTTACATAGACTACAAATAAATGCCGCTGCTTCATTCATTTCTTTTTATGAGTTACAAATTGCATTTAATAACTATTAAATATAATTTTTAATGCAAATGATTGTCATATTAGTTGTCAGTTAATCTATACCCACCTAATGTTACTAATTTGAGTTTCAAATAAAACTCGAGAATCCATATGAATAAAACCTAATATTATGTATCTAGCTAATTTGATTTTTCCCACTACAGCGTTATTTTAATAACATTTTAATAGCAACACCAATTTTTTTTGGTCAAAAGGGTAGTAAATATGTATATTGGCAGTTTCGTTACAAGTGACCCAACTTGAAAAATCGAGTTAGATGAAATTTGCACCAATGTTAGTACTATTGGATAGTAGGCCAGACACAAATCAGCTCTACACAGAGGGAAAAAGAAATATACACGCCTGGTACCAAACACACCAAACTGTTTATAATTTTCAATACCATACGTTGTCAAAGTATATACATACGTACGACAACATTATGTAATGTTGATAACATTGCAACAATTCGTTGTCGAAATCTAAATGTTATACACATCCGTTGTCTAAATGTTAACAAACGTGGTAAGCTCACTATTGGAAACGGATTGTTTGTTGCAATGTTGGCAACGTTGCGTTGTCAACATTACATAGTGTTGTCGTAAGTATGTATGTATATACTTTGACAACGTTGTCTAAATGTTAACAAACGTGGTAAGCTCACTTTTGACAAACATTTAGACAACGGATGTGTATAAAATTTAGATTTCGACAACGAATTGTTGCAATGTTGATAACGTTGCGTTGTCAACAATACATAGTGTTATCGTACGTATGTATATTAGACCGAGTCACAAAAAATGGTGCTAGAGTTACCCGACGTTTTTTAATGATTAATACATCATGGGACGCGGCTTTGAAACCCCTTTTAAATGATACCCTATATTGAATATATAGTTTCAAAACAAAACTAAAATTAAAAAAAAAAAAATAATTCAAAAATATCTTTTTTTAAATTTGATCCAGCTCAAGAACGGCCATCGCTAGACTTAAAATATTTTGGGAATAATCATAAAACAAAACAAGGCAAATTTTGAGAGGAGTAACAAAAACACGTTTTTACTTTCAATACCGAGTGAGTCGGTCTAATGTATATACTTTGACAACGGATGTTATTGAAAAATTATAAACTCTTTGGTGTCAATTTGGTATCAGGCGTGTATATTTCCTTTTCCCTCTGTGTATCGGACAAGAACTGCCGGAGTTAGAGTGGGTCAAAAAAAACTAAAACGCTTTTTTATAACATTTAAGAAAACTTACATATATATTATTATCAGTGTATGTATGCATTGTGAAAGACACTCATCTGCATTTAAAAGAGTCCCGTTATTTACAGTCTAAACGACTAAACCTAGAGTTATGATATTTTGAGACTAAATGTATTTTGACCATGTGCATCTACAAATTTTTGGAAATAAAAACAGGTAAACTCGCAGAAATGTTACATTTATCATTGCTATTCCAAAGACAAGCGGACAGGTGTCTGTTACTTTTTCGAAATTCGATTCCTTTTAGGAATAAATAAATAAATAAATAATAACTGTATTATTGAAATTTTCGAAAATTCTGTTTCTTAGGGTAAAAATTATACCTATTTTTTAGTACTTTTACTTATATGTATTTACAAATATTAAATAAAGGTCACCCATTACGATATTGATTGTTTAATAAAATTTTTGTTTCTTCAGTAGGTTGTCATTCGAATAAAAATTATTCGATTAATCGAGGAAAAAAATTTGTTTGAATAAAAAAATTCCTATTTAGAATAATGCGAAAAAATTTTGTCGATTAATCAAATATTCGAATAATATCGAATATTTAAGAATATTTTATTATACATAGCATTGAAATTATGTAAATATTCTGTATTATAAATCTAAATATAAAGATATGTTATAATTGAAACAAAACTTATACTACTTTTTGGAGTTTAGAAAAATTTTTGTTTTGCAATGTTAAAAATAAAATGGTTCTAGTTTTAAAAGTGATTATCTTAGCCATGAAATGTAGTCCTAGTCCTACTATGACACATTGCTTATGCTTCAATAATCTGGTTGACTTCTTTGGACAAGAAGTGTAATATCAAACTACAACTGGGAGTTCAGCGTACATGCTGCTTGGGTACATCTGGTGCCATAGGCACAATGTCAAGCAAGACTCTGGAAACGTTGTTGATATTCCACCCATTGAAACATATGTATTTAAGATATGAGGCGGCACTTACAACCGAACGGCTCATAACTTTAGGCGAATTGGCCAAAGCGGTTAAAGGCCACGTCATTTATGTATACTGGACACATTGGAAGGCTATAAACAATCAAGCCGAACATTTCTCACGAACACTGATTGGGAAATTCTTTGGAATTACGGCCAGGAAACTGAACATTGAAAGATAATACATTCAGTGGACACTATGTTGTTTTTGTTTACCAATAAACCTTGTTTACAAATAAACCTCTTTCATGAAAAGCAGCGCACAACAGACCCGATAGTGTTGTTGTGTGGTTAGATTTAATGTAGTGAGATTCAACTAAGTTACTTATTTAAAAGTGTATTAATGTATGAAAACAGTTTTTACCCGTATCTTAAGATTTTTTAAGGTGTTTGGCAAGTTTATTTATAATTTATTAAATTATTCGAATAAAAATGTTTTTCGTTATTCGTTCGAATAATAGAATATTTTTTAAAATTTAATCGACTACTCGAATAAAAAAATATAGTACATTTTGATTCGAACAATTTTAAATGACAACCTTAATTGACAACCCTAGTAGGTAGGAAAAAAACACCAAAAGGGGCATAAAATCAAAATTGAAAATTTTAATCTTGCAAAGGTATGTATGTTTCTGGATGAAAATGGAAGAAGAATTCATCACACTTTTTATACCCACCATCAAAAAAGTAGGGGGGTGTATATTATTGTATTGTATTGTAACACATCGAAATATTGTTCATAGACATATATTCTAGGCCCATATTAAATTCTAAGACGATCTAGCCATGTCCGTCCGTCTGAATGTTAAAATCACGATAGGGACCACACGGGAGGAGCTAGACAGTTGAAATTTTGCATAAATATTCTCTATTGATAAGGTTTGTTTGAAATTTACCTATGTCGGTCAATGATTTCGCCTAGCCCCCATACAAGTGGCCCCGAAAAACTGCTTTAAAAGTCATAACTGTCATAAGTTTTATACGAGACAAAATCTATTTATAAGGTTTTATGAGGATCTGCCCTACTCTCCATATAAGGCCATCTTCTGGAAATTTCTTTAACGATAATTACTGACAGCGATGATATTTGATATAAACAAGTTTTATATGATCCAAAATCGGCCTACAGAATGTTATTAGGATCGCTTAATAATTGACCCTACCCCCCCCTAAAATGTCCTTTGGTCCATTGTCCATTGACCTAGGCCCTATTCCAAATATCACCCTGATTTTTATAGGGTTGTAGAACTAAGTCATTCAAAAAATTAGGCTGATAGGATAATGTTAACAAGCTCTGAAATTTTGAGGTGCATTAATGAGGGGGAAATTTGATTTTTTTCAGTTTTTGCTAAAATGTTGCCATTAAATAATTAAATTTAAATTTTATTGTAAAGTAATTTTTGTCTTTTTAGAAATTTCGATATTTAAATAATGATAAGCATTTAAACTATTTGCAATATTTTTACATTTATTTGAGTAGTAACGATTTTCTTAACACTAATTACTAAATAAGATACATACTTATAAACAAATCCTTATGAATTTACAAAAGAAATATTCTATACCGTAAGACCTGCTAAACATTTTTCTAACTCCTCATAGATTTTAGAAGATTCTTCAACATAAACGCGAGAACACTCATCAGTGCAGCGATTTTGATTATACTCAATGATTTCGTATTTTATTTTTATGTAATCCATTTTATCTTTAGCGATATTTTGTATATTGTAAGCAGCTTTAGTTGATTCACCAGCCTGAAATTGTTAAGAATTATAATAAAATTTAAGAAAACATGAACACAAAAATATCTATTTAAGTACTTACCACATTGCCAAAACATTCGAAAAACTCATAAGCAGATTTGTTATTTTTAGAACAAGTTTGAAATTTACCACAAACTTGTTCCGCAGATCTTTCCAGGTCTCTGCGATCTCGTTGAACCTCTAAATCAATTATAGCACGATCTTCAGCGGAATGTTGTAAACAAATTTCATAATCAGCTTCGTAATTCTTGGTTAACTCATTTAATTTGGGTATATAAATTGAAAAACATTCCATACTACGTTCAGGACTAGCCGATATCAAGGAGCTGTTTTTGAGTAGTATATCGGCAATTCTATTTTCAGAGAATAGTTTATTGTCGTTACAGTAGACCTTAAAGAACAGTGCAAAAATAATGCAAGTTATCAGAAGATATTTCGACATGTCCGCTTTCTAGAATTTAATTATTTAAAATGAACTAGTTAGTGCTATTCTAAATTGGATTTTATAATTTTGGCAAACAAAAAACACTTAAAAGTATAAAAATATCATTAATAATTCGCTTGGTATTGGATTTTTGATAAGAGATATAAAAAATTCCTAATCTGAAATATACATTTTAATCAACTTTATTAAATTTTACTTCCTTTGATTAGTTTCTATTTGGTTTTTCCATAGTACATAAAATTATTCGAATGCATATATTTCATGCATTGAAACAGCTTAGCAGAATAAAATAGAACTCGATGCCAGCGCGATTAATTAATAGCAATTATCTATCTATCTATCTATCTATCTATCTATCTATCTATTCTATCTATCTATCTATCTATCTATCTATCTATCTATCTATCTATCTATCTATCTATCTATCTATCTATCTATCTATCTATCTATCTATCTATCTATCTATCTATCTATCTATCTATCTATCTATCTATCTATCTATCTATCTATCTATCTATCTATCTATCTATCTATCTATCTATCTATCTATCTATCTATCTATCTATCTATCTATCTATCTATCTATCTATCTATCTATCTATCTATCTATCTATCTATCTATCTATCTATCTATCTATCTATCTATCTATCTATCTATCTATCTATCTATCTATCTATCTATCTATCTATCTATCTATCTATCTATCTATCTATCTATCTATCTATCTACTATCTATCTATCTATCTATTCTATCTATCTATCTATCTATCTATCTATCTATCTATCTATCTATCTATCTATCTATCTATCTATCTATCTATCTATCTATCTATCTATCTATCTATCTATCTATCTATCTATCTATCTATCTATCTATCTATCTATCTATCTATCTATCTATCTATCTATCTATCTATCTATCTATCTATCTATCTATCTATCTATCTATCTATCTATCTATCTATCTATCTATCTATCTATCTATCTATCTATCTATCTATCTATCTATCTATCTATCTATCTATCTATCTATCTATCTATCTATCTATCTATCTATCTATCTATCTATCTATCTATCTATCTATCTATCTATCTATCTATCTATCTATCTATCTATTTATCTATCTATCTATCTATCTATCTATCTATCTATCTATCTATCTATCTATCTATCTATCTATCTATCTATCTATCTATCTATCTATCTATCTATCTATCTATCTATCTATCTATCTATCTATCTATCTATCTATCTATCTATCTATCTATCTATCTATCCTATCTATCTATCTATCTATCTATCTATCTATCTATCTATCTATCTATCTATCTATCTATCTATCTATATCTATCTATCTATCTATCTATCTATCTATCTATCTATCTATCTATCTATCTATCTATCTATCTATCTATCTATCTATCTATCTATCTATCTATCTATCTATCTATCTATAATCAGCCACTGAGCTCACCCTGGGGGCATGTTTCCTTGATGGAAGACCCAATCTTCGTGGGATTGCAATCCCGGGGAAAAGAGGTGCTACCAATACCTCTAGTCTGTCGGGGCTATAAACTGGTGATGATTAAATGTATCCTCGGCCTTTTCTTGGAATGATTTGACATGATGTTGTACCAGAGAACCACATAATCTGGTACTACGGGTGTCCAGTTCCCTGGTCTGTTGCTTAAGGTTCCTTCGGTATCCATGTAGTGGCTGTGGTTTAAACCCATGCAATGCAAGCATATCCATACATATATTTATAAGAGCTAGTCTAATATCCACTTTAGTTAAGAAACTACAACATTTACCAAAATAACCGATAACGCAATAATAATAATAATAATAATGCGTGGCTATTTAAAGATTAAAATCTGGCATAGGCTTTTAGTTAATCGACTTTAGATTATAATTATCTGATTCATAACAAATCATATAGAAATCTACAAGTCACGAAAAAAGCATAGAAAATATACGATTTGCTATGTTTAGAAATTATATCAAATCATTTATATTCGTTTCTTAGTTGAGAGCAGTCATGTCAAAATACTTTCTAATTACTTACATAGGCTTTGTTCTAGTCTTTAATACAAATTGTTTGGGGCGTAAGCCAATTATCGAAAATCAAATCGCTAATATTCTTCTAAAATCCAGTCCATTAGTAGAGAAGACACCACAGCAAAGTATGGAGTGTTTTGCAATTTATATACCAAAACTAAATAATTTAACCAAAACCTATGAGTTCGAGTATGAAACTTGTTTACAACTTTCGACGGAATACCGAGATTCCCTAGATTTGGAAATTCAAAAAGAGCGCTTACACTTGGAAGAATCAACTGAAGAAGTTTGTAATAGTTTCAAAAGTTGTTCCAGCAAAACTGAAACTTTTGAATTTTTCGAATGCTTTAGTAATGTTGTAAGTATGAAATATATTTTAATTACAAATAAAATGCAAATAATTTTTATATTTTACATTTTAGGCTGCTGAATCCACTAAAACCATTTATAACATTCAAAACATATCCAAGGACAAAATGGAATATATTAAAATTAAAGAAGACGCCATTGAGTACGATCAAAATCGTTGTACTGATAAATGTTCTCGTGTCTATGTCGAGGAATCTACAAAAATCTATGACGATTTGGATAAATGTTTAGCTGGTGTAGTCATTGATTCGCCAACTCAAATTCCTAGTGTTAAGGTTTAAAAACGTCTTGTAAATGAAAATCATTGTTCAAATTTTTCGAAATTGCATTTTTACAAACATTTCAAAGTATATAGTAAAGCTTTAATTCATATGCTTAAATATCAAACCGTATAGTTTAAGTTAATCAATATTTTTGAGTGAAAACATCAGCGCAAACACATAATACCCCCCCCCCCTACTACAGTGGTATAGAGTATAAAAATTATAGGTTTCTGAAATCCATAAACATTTATATATTTTTAGTTAAACTACGTTTATATACATATATAAATATTAGCACTTACTGGTAGTATATACATATGTAAGTGTGATTTTATTAAATTTTGCATAAAAACTTGTTCTAATTTTGATTTAAGATCCAAGTATAAATATGCATAAAACTTTAAAGTTAAAATACATAGAAATGACTTTATTCTTCCAGACAACTGCAATGTCTGGGAACATCAATCATCTGGTTGTATTCAAATGATGGAACTTTAGGGAAAACTCCTACAAAAGTGTGAAGAAAAAACGAAAACACAATTTTCCACTACAAAGCATTAAACAAATACGCAAATATTCCTTTGGAATAGTATTCTTTTGGAAAAGTATCTTTTGTTAGAAAACATACACATTTGCATATATAGTTTAAAACATTTTTAAAGCGAGGCTAAACTAAAAAGTTGTTTAAATAATTAAGAACTCTTTGTCTTATAAATATAATGTCTTAAAAAGTACTTTTCATTTCAACCTCGTATCTTGCCGATTGTCAGGATGATGTTACATCTCTGAGACTCATTTACACTTTGGGGAATATTTCACACCACAGTAGAACAAATACCATCGCAAACATAGTACATAGATATGATGACGATTGAGAGTGCCTTGAAGTATTTTAACATTAAAGATGAAGTTGTTTTGTTTTTCGCCTCAAAACATTATTTATTCAAAAAACATAATAAGCTCATTTTACAATAGAAATAAAATTATTCAGATACACTGAAACAACGTACATAAAACAATATAAACAAACTTAACGAAACAAGATTCATATAGAAATTAAAAGGAATCCAACTAAAAGTTGGCAATGATACGTGCATTTATTGTTAGTTCTTTCATTAAATAGCAGCGCCTAATTGTATGCTATTTATATGTGTCATAGTTGTTTACAGCTTGAAGCTACAAAAAGATACGTATCTACACCTATACTTAATTTACCGAATAAATTGTATGCATTGCTAAATGTATAACACGTTTACTCATGTTTATTTCGAATAAATGAAATTCGTTGGAAGGGTTCAGAGGGGAACCTAGAGGGATTAAATATTTCGAAATCCTTATTGATCTATATGGGGCAAACACAAATTTATAACAATTGCAGATCTAAGCAATTTTAAATACATTCCACAATTCAGTAATATCGTTAGTTTTTTATATACATATTTTTTTTTAATTTATAAGATTGCAAACCATATTCTATCATATAAAATAAATGATGTTGACAGCCTGTAAAGAAAGAGTAATAGCATCTTAAGAAAGTTTATTGTTACCTACCCCCCATCCATAGCTCTAAACTTGCAATTACTTACCAACTGTCACTTTCATACGTAATATGCCGCACAATAAATGTAAAAAATGGTATTGTACGTATGTTTCGTGTAAAATATAATAGAAAAATTACATTGTAAAAAAATTTTTGTTCAAAGTTTATAAAGAATAAAAATTTGAAAGACGCACTGCATAGCATGATGCTTAAAATGTGATGAAACAATTTGTCATTTGTGTTTTGACACAAAGACACATAGACTTAGCAAGGACCAAAGGGTAAATTATTATATTTACTTCTTATTCATACGTGTATATTTTACATACACACTAGACTCGTCATTATCATTAACAGCATCTACGCCATCTTATGTACGAAGTATCATCTGTTTTAAACAAGTTACAATGTGATATGAAATATTGGATACAAAAGTAATATATTTTATTTGGAAATAAAATGACGGATTCGTATTAAGCTGTTCTAATTTGCTTAACTATTTTCATTTAAAAATCCTATATAAAACAATTAAGAATTTATAGTTGGGCATGACCGACCAGATGATACCCTACACCAATGATTACGTTAAAAATATAATCAATATTTTTTTAATAATAAAGTGTTTAATTATATTTTTACCCTAATATTTGAACAATTTGTTGGCAAAAAAGCGATTTTCTAAAAGAGGGGTTATATGGGGGCAGGGGGTTAATATAGCCCTATCTTTATAATTTACGTCTATATCAGTTATTTATGCAGAATATCATCGTGATATTAGTGTTTATAACTGAATCTTGACAATCAAGTAATCTTCTGAAAGGGACTTTGTATGGGGAAAAGGGTCAAATAAGGACCGATCATTACGAAAGTTTTGGTGATGTTTGAAGTGATACAAGAACATTTAACATATTTATGAGATCAAAAGCCCTATCCGGGGGGTATGGTTGTATGTGGGCAAAAGAAATCACTTCCTTGGGTCAAAAGAAGTGTATGTGCCAAATTTCATCAAATTATCTAGAATATGGAATAGCCGAATATAGCCAAGGAGAAAACGAATTGTCCAGGGACGGCGCACATGCAAAATTTTTTAACGGATGCCAATTTTTGTTTTGAAGGACTTAGATTGGGTTATATATATCTATATATATAAAATTCTAACGTTACTGACTGACTGACTGATTCACTGACTGATTCATCATCGCACAGCCTAAACGGTTGAAGCTAAAGAGCTGAAATTTGGACAGGAGGTTGGTCTCCCGCCAAATAGATCCACTAAGACGGGATTTTTGGAAATTCGAATGTTTAGGGGGTAAAAAAGGGTAAAAACGGGTAAATTCGGTAACCTTATATCTCCTAAACTAGAAAAGATACAAAAACAGTTTAAAGCTTATCGCCGTTCATTTAAAAAATAAACGGACAGGTGTCTGGTACTTTTTTAAAATTCGGCCCCTTTAGGGAATAAACGGGTAAAAACTGTATTTTGGTACTTTTTTCGCACCCCATGTATCTTTTAAACCAGTGCACATTCAAAAAATATTTTTGACTCCTTCATAACTTAACGAAAAAATAAAAATATGAATTTAGTACTTTTTGGATATTCGGACGTTTAAGGGGTTAAAATTGTACCTATTTTTGGTACTTTTTTCATAAAACATTGTTTTTGGTTTATTAACTTATACATATGAATACATAACAACTACGATGTTGCAACTTTTTGGAATAGAATTTTTATTTCGTTAATGGGGAAGAAAAAAGTACCAAAAGGGGTAAAAACGGGAAATTTTATTTTATTCAACCACAATGATCCAATTTAGATAAAATTTTTAAATTTAGAAACACTAAATATCCTAATGGGGTATTATTTGGAACCCCGGTATCAAGTGATATTTTTTGGTACTTTTCATTCTCCAACTGGTCCTTTTTGAGTTTTCTATGATATTGAAATAGAAACATGAAATTAATAATAAAGGGACTTTTCGCTACTTTTTCGTTCTACACAGGTACTTTTTTGAGTTTTCTTTAAAATTAAACCTAGAAACATGAAATTAAGCATGTAGAGCTCGGAGTAAATGAGAATCTATAAAATGGTACTTTTTGGTACTTTTTCGTTCTTCAAAAGGTACTTTTTGAATTTTCTATAATATTGAACCTAGAAACATGAAATTAAACATATAGAGACCGGAGTAAATGAGAATCTATAAAAGGGGACTTTTTTGTACTTTTTCATCCTTCGACTGGTACTTTTTGAGTTTTCTATAAAATTTAACCTAGAAACATAAAATTAAGCATGTAGAGCCCTTAGTAAATGAGAATCTATAAAAGGGGACTATTTGGTACTTTTTCGTCTTTCGACTGGTACTTTTTGAGTTTTCTATAAAATTTAACCTAGAAACATGAAATTAAGCATGTAGAGCCCGGAGTAAATGAGAATCTATAAAAGGGGACTTTTTGGTACTTTTTCGTCCTTCGACTGGTACTTTTTGAGTTTTCTATAAAATTTAACCTAGAAACATAAAATTAAGCATGAAGAGCCCTTATTAAATGAGAATCTATAAAAGGGGACTATTTGGTACTTTTTCGTCTTTCGACTGGTACTTTTTGAGTTTTCTATAAAATTTAACCTAGAAACATGAAATTAAGCATGTGGAGCCCTTAGTAAATGAGAATCTGTAAAAGGGTACTTTTTCGTCTTTCGACTGGTACTTTTTGAATTTTCTATAATATTGATCCTAGAATCATGAAATTAAGCATGTAGAGCCTGGAGTAAATGAGAATCTATAAAAGGGGACTTTTTGGTACTTTTTCGTCCTTCGACTGGTACTTTTTGAGTTTTTTATTAAATTGAACCTAGAAACATGAAATTAAGCAAGTACAGCCAAGATTAAGTGATAACCTATAAAAGGGGACTTTTCGGCACTTTTTCGTTCTTCAAAAGGTACTTTTTGAATTTTCTATAATATTGAACGTACGTAGAGCCCGGAGTAAGTGAGAACATATAAAAGAGGACTTTTTGGTAATTTTTCGTTCTTCCAAAGGTACTTTTTGTGTTTTTCATAACATGAAATTAACCATGTGGGGCCCGGAGTTAATGAAAATCTATAAAAGGGGATCCTTTGGTAATTTTTCGTTCTTCAACTGGTACTTTTTTAATTTTCTATAATATTGAACTTAGGAACATGAAATTAAATAAAAGAGGTCTTTTGTTACTTTTTCGTACTTCATTGGTACTTTTTGAGTTTTCTAAAATATTGAATATATAAACATAAATTTAAATAGGGGACTTTTTGATATTGCAGATATATATACATTTACAATAATATTTATTTTATTCCATTACGATGAGGGTAGCGAAGCACACTGGGTATAGCTAGTAACTAATAAAATCTTTATTTATAAACAAAACTTATTGAAAACTTAAACTTTTTTTAAATTTGTCATTCTGAATAAGTGAAAAAATTTTGTCAAAAGATCAAAGGAAATTGTACAATTCCCAAAAATTTGAAAGATATTATTATTATTCTCGGGA